ATAAACTGATAAATATCTTCTTACTCTTTGATTCTGTTTCTTTTAATTTTTCTGTAACGAAATATTATGTATTTTGTAAAACTAATATTATGTAATAAAAATTCTAAATTAAAAATATTATAAAATTTTATTAAAAAAAATTTATAATTTTAAGTCAAATAAATTTATTGTAATTGTATACCTTCTAATTTTCTTTTCTAAGGTGTATTTATCCCTTTCAATAAATGGAGTATTGACATTCGACCATCTTTTTGTTTTAAATCATTGATGTCATTTACAAGTAAATATGGCGGATCAGCTATAAAATTATCAAAGTTATATATATAAATTAATGTGTACGTACTTTAAGTGTGTGATTTTATAAAAATTTTTATTTATTTAAAATTTTTATTTATTAAAAATAAAATAATTTATTCTTTATTCTTCCAATTTTTTTGCGTTTTTTGCTTTTATAAAATTTATTTATATTTAATATTATTTATAATATTTATTATGAGATAAATAAAAAAAAATATAAATATTATATTATCTTTAATTAAAATTAATAAAATAATATTTCGTTACAGAAAAATTACAATATTTTTTAAATTAAAGTTTTAAAATTAGTGAGAAATATAAATATTTTTACCATTGAGTTGCATAATTCCTTTAATTTCAACTTTGTCACCTTTTTTTAAATTTAAATCCAAATAATTATTATCAGAAAAATCTAAAATATGTATTTTCAGTTTGTATAAGCCATCAGTAATTGATCCACATCCAATAATTTTGTTTAATTTTGTGTTAAAAATTTCAGAGAAATTTGTCTTAATATATCCATCTAAAACTGAAGTATTTATATACGTGTATAATATGGTAAAGAAATATAAAAGTTTTGTTTTATTAGTATTATAATAGTATAAAAATGAAATAAATATTTTAAAACAAAAAAATTTATAAAATATTTAAAATATTAAATAAAAAATAAAATAAAGTACAATAAAATATTTTTAATTTTTGAATAATACTTTTAGAGAAATTTATATAGAAATGGAAACATAACTTACTAATGTATCCTGGACTATCTAATACATCGCATAATTTTGTTTCCTTATATTTATTATTTGTAGTTTTTATTTCATAATAACCTAAATTTGATATAATTGTATTTTTTAAAATTAATAACTCATATGCCACATTGCCATTATTAAATTGGCTATTTCTAGGTTGTCTCGCAAACGCTCCAT